TGCATAAGATGTGATTTGGGGTGTTTGTGAACAGTTTATGTTATACAAAGTGTGTACCTTTGGTATGAATGTTTTTATGTATCAGCAAGACTTTGATACCAAAAGTCCCCTTTTTGGGACAAATACTATTTCTCTGTTTTATAAATAGTTTCACAAGTGTAAGTTTATTATTGCTTTGCTTAAATTTGCTCTCAAGTATAAGCAGTTTGAAACCAATTTTGCATAGTAATACACATTTACGGTCTAAAAACTGTATAATTAATTCGTGGACTTTTCATCCATAACTAAAGAAGGAACAAACACTTATTACCAAAAAAAAGGGACGAATTTATTTTGATATTCTCTTTATATCGTTGATAATATATAAATTAGCCAACACTTTTTTTTTTCTGAGAACCAAAAAAAACACAAATTGGCCAACAGTGAAAAGGGAAAAAAGGTGATATGTCGCGGTGCTTTGGGGAGTAAGAGTCAAAATGATTGATAATTTGAAATGATTGGCATTTTTCTCAAAACCTTCTAGTTCGTTCGGAAGTGCATTTTGGTGGTTGAGAAAGTTGAGAATATTATTATAATAAGAAAACAAAAATGGAAAAAATGAGAGGAATGGACCGAATTGTATGGTGGTGGGTAGGCGAGAGTATATAGTTTATGATTTTGATATATTAGCACGTGACGTACACATTGATTGATACGTGAGAAATTTAAGTAGGTGAAGAAAAAACTTTCCAACAATAACAATAGACATGTTTCTTTCTTCTTTTCAACTACTTTTTTCTTGTGTTCCTCTCCACCTCAAAAATTGATTCCTATAATAACTATTTAGTATAGAAATTGGTACTATTTGGGATAATGGAGTAACTAAAACTGAAATAAATAACAATGAATTACCGTTGAATAAACGAAATGATGCCACTTAATAGTTTAGTGGTATAGATCGTCGGTTTTAATTGTCATGTAATCAACAAAAGTAATGATATTTTTAATCGTGAATATTTTGTACTTGAGTAATTCCTCTTACTTCTCCAAACTTATAGTTCCACTGGTGGACAATCACTTTTGCTCATTGTCCATAAGTAATGGATATTGGTGATTTATGCCAACATGCAAAATAACTAATAAGCTATCTACAATGCATTACAACTTTACGAGTAAATTACTAATTTGTAATATGGAGAGAGTGCTAATCTTTTTCTTTCTTTCTTTTTTTGAAGTAGGAGAGAATGTCAATCAAGTGCAAGTGGAACTATGTTAACAAAAATTTCTTTCATATTTCTTTTTTTAATTATTAGGAAATGTCTAAATATATTCATAAATTTGATGCAATTATGAGAAAAATAGAAACTCCAATGTATTTTTTAACAAAAGATATGTATTCCTATTTAGAAAGAAAGTAAACTTCATTTCTTTATGTGGAAGTTATAGAAATAGTACTTTAATTTATTACTTGTTGACAAAATGAAAAAAAAATATTACTCGATAAAGATGATGTCAAACGAATAATTTTTAAAAAGAAATCAATTGGACATGGTAGGTGATGTGTGAGTAAATGATATCACATGATTGTATAATCGATTTCACTGTTCCTTTTCCTATGTTTGTCAACGTCACCGCGGAACAAAATAAACAAAGGGACATTGAATTTGGGATAATGGAAAATCAACTTAGAACCATATTCTTTTTTCAACGAACAGTAATTTAATCTACTGAAAATAAAACAGGTTGAATTCAAACTTTATCTTCGCATTTCAAAAAAGTCAGTAGAGTGGAAATTGAGTTTCTAATGTAGAATTTTTTCCAACAGAGTCAAAATGATTGATTTATCTATAACAAATTAGTTTTACACTTCTACTACACTGGAAAATTCTCAAATTTTATTGTCATTTTTTCAATTGATTAATTCTCTCAATCTGGCTCGTGGATCATTCGACATATTACGACTTATCTGGGCCATGAATTAAGGCCCAATAAAGATGGTTTAAACGACGCGCACTCCATCCAAATGACAAAAAACCGGCAAGAAGTTTGGTTTCTCATAATGACTTGTTACTTTTCAGTTTTAAGGTATCAACAAACTCAAAAAGATTGAAGTAACAGGGTACTGAAATCTCACAAACTAGGTTAAGATGCTCTCACAGAAGAAGAATACAACAAGGTTCAAGCACAGACTGGCGATTTCCAAGCCCTCGGTACAAATTAGTCTTGTTCAGCGTCTGCAAGTTCTTCATCTTCTGGCACCCCTCGGACATACAAAACGTTGTTGCATCTGCGTGCACAAAGTCGGTAAAAGTTTAACCAAGAGATCCAAAAGTTTCAAAGCAACTATAAACGTGATTTTTTTTAGTAATTGAATCCATAAGTACCAGAGACAAAAGAACAGTAATTTGGCTCAAGTCCAATTCCAAAGTTTTATCAACTAATGACACTTTACCATTAAATGTTTTATACGAAACATAAAACCGAGTTCCAAGGAGGGAACACAAATTGCAAAGGGAATATAGAATAAGAATGCAGTGAGATTAGCTTTTACCTGATCAAGATCTCACCAAGGTTTCCCGTTAATTGCCCGTCGATGTATTCCTCGGTGTTTCCCAGCTGCAAAACAGTATGGAAAATCTCAATGGTTACAACGAAAAATGATTTATGTACATGTAAACGTATATCTGTTTTTATCACTGCATTTCCTCTTAATTTTTAAGCACAAGGAATATTTAGCAGGTGGTTTTCGACAATATAACATCAATCTCTGTTTAACAGTTCAATGTAAAAATTTAAATAAATTAGCGAATTGAACACAGAAGCTAGCTAAGACAGTACCTGCAAGTTCATGTAGGAGTCAACAGAGGCAAGGAAACCTGCGGAAACAGACAGATTCAAGGG